ATGCCAATGTAGCGTATAACGAGCAACATTATAAGCTATGTACCTGTATACGAATCTCAAAATGAAACTCGATACCCTCGGATATTTCCGCATAAAACAACATGCATAGGATAAAAGCGGAGGAAACATCTATTGCATTATGAAACACTAACGTAATAGATGTACTTGTACCTATATTATGTACCCTCTTTTGTATCTCAATTTCAAACCTTTACAATCGACCGCAGCGAATTTTCCCTGCATTTTCTTAACAAGCCAGTATACAAAAGGAATATGGTAATGCGAAACAACTTCTCCTAATGACCCTTAAGAAAGGTCCAGGGATTGTTCTCATCAACTTCACACAAACATCGATAAGCAATTGTTATGTCTACCATATTTTATACCATCGTTGTTTTTATATCGTGTATTATTGTTTTGCTGTCTCATTCGTTCAGTGATTAGTACACCCAGCCAGTCTTACAAATGTTATTTCGGTATTTTAAATCTTTCTAAAATACCTTAGAGTTTGGAAGTAGGAGGCGTAATCTCTACCTTGCCTTGGAGGGCCCCGTCCCTGTTTTTATCACTAACTAGCTGTGCCAGTCTATGTCCGCGTATATTAGTTATTAAATTTGGTTTCGCAAACCTCATCTTAATCAATTATGGCTGTTTCGCGAATATATATATATGTTTTTTCGCTAAAGCCTTCCTTGATAAAAAATCCAACCAACACAAAATTTATTTTTCATTTCATACTTTCAAACAAACTAACATATTTTCAGCTCTATAATATTAGTAGAATTTTGTGACAATAGTCATTAAAACCAATTGCATAATAGGTCTAAGTTTTTAGTCCATCCCTCCTATAAGTGAGGTGCCTGTGAGCAGCAGAACATTAATAGGTTAAAATAATATAATATCATTAGCCATTCGTTTATTTTAATTTATTTCGCTGTTTAAAACACAATTGGATGGTAAGCATGACTCGGTGTGATTACCTATTTAAAATGCTATTTGAAATACTTAGCCTGATTTGATACGTTAGCACACGAACAGACACAAAGCACTGTATTTTTATATTTTAAGACCTCTTTTTGCAGTATTACTTCACAAAGTAGCAGTATTTTCAGCTTATGTGCAAGAGATGCGAACGAGCGATGATCCCTTGATCCTGTATAGATAAAGTTGTAAGGGATATTTATATGTTTTGCTTCATAACTGTTCCAGCTTCCCGCCAATTTGACTTGCTATTTATTTGTAGATACTTTTTTAACATCTACAAAAATATAAAAATGGCAGTAGCTCGTTTATTAAGAATCATCGAACTCAAGCTGGTAGCTACTGAAACTGAACTTAAGTTACAATATGAAAAACCCATAAAAATGTAATATTCCCTAAATGTCATATCAAAACAACTATAACCGAATTTATTGCTGCAATATTTTGTACGTTCTAATTTGGAATAAATGGTTAAAGATATTTTTTAAAGATAATTTAATTTACTTAACAAACAAAAATTGTTTATTAGTAAATGCCACTGTAGGCCAACAATGTTTGTCATTATTAAATATTAGCCCGCTAAGAACACTTATTACGTTACAACTTGCTATTACCAATTATTTCATGGGCACTTAGAACTTCCCCAGTAGTAGTATTGTGAGTGGTAGTAAAAACACTTGGTTGACGGTTTTTTTTTTACATGGTCACCACCATGTAAAAAAAAAACCGTCAACCGTTTTCATTAAACAGACTTTAGGGACTATCTAAAATGACAGTTTGAACCTTTGATATCCTTTTAATTATACCTTTCGTACGTAATGGACTAACGACTTTTGACCAAAAAACCAATTCTAAAATCACAGAGACCGCGTTGGTTTAATAACAGCGTTGACTCGTGGATCGCCATATGTCCTAAACCAAAACAGGTCGAAAAGAATAACAATTTACTTCTTAAGTGGAAGATATAATAAAACCTGACTGCTTATATCCGTATAGGTAGAAGAGAAAAGGCTTTCAACAACAACAATGTGAAATTATAACGACTTGTGTCGTATATTTTCCAATACTTTCGTCAAACTTCCTGTCACAAGAATAGAGCTTAGCGACTCTAAGAAGAAGGAAAGTTCGTATCAAACTTTAAAAGTTAAAAACAGTTAACAACTTATTTATTCTCTGAAGCATTTTCTTTTGTAGGTACAAGAAAATATTAAGTACAAAAAACTATTTCTATGTAAAAATTATACATATATATATATATGATGAGTTGAAGATGGGAACTGAGAGAGACCAGAAAATTAATTAATAATAATATAAGTTTCAAAACATACGACTAAACTTAACAAGAAAATCCAACTGCACAATAGTAGGTAATCAATAAATTACCAACAACGTTGAACAAGTATAAACTAATCACGGTGAGCAAACAAGGCTGTGATCGTAAGTTTATCTTGCCAATAAGGGCGAGTCGATTAACTGACGTGTCTAAAATCACTATTGAGGTGGAACAGGCTCTTTTATGGTATTTTTATTTTAGATTTGTTCTTATTATATTTACTAGTACTATTTAGTTTAAAACGTGTTTAACATCGCTTGCATTTTAAATTGTTATTTTACTGCCGCTTCGCACGACAGTATAACTAATCGTTTGCATAATAACCGACTCGGCGAGTACCTATACGTCGTAAAGCAATAAATCAATAAGATTTGCTAAGCAACCACCCGTGTCGTCAAGTCCAAGAAAATTAGGAACCAAGTCTACATATATAGGTTTAAGTCTGTACACGGGAGAAATTAAATTTTCGCATGAACGCTTACAAATATATTCACCCTAGTTTATATAGGAAAACTGTGTATATTCAAAGTTTTGGGTCAGTAATAATTTAACACAACCAAAATGTAGTTGTGTTAACGCTTTTGAAATAAATAATAACATACATCCAAATGTCCACAACGCCCGCTACAAACTAAAACTGTAATCAACTTGGAAGTATGCATTGTGTGCGGTGTACATACAAAATTGTGACCCGCTTGCATAGATGAAAGTTTTGAATTAAAAATTCAGAAGTATCGCGAACACAATTAAGAAAGTAAGAGTGCGAAGTTGTGTACACAATACCGATATTAAATTGTGGAACGCTTTGCTGAATCGAAAGAGGAAACGACGAATTTTAAGCTATTTGAAATAAATCCGCAAAGGTAATATCCGTTCAATTCCTCCCACTCATTTCAGCATTACTTTGCATATTGCAAAAATTCAACCAGCGAAAGGGGTTTCAATAATAGTTTTAATCGCGAACTCCTACAGCGGACAGTAATTTCAGTTATCTATCGTTCACAATTTCAGCGTTAAACTCAATCAAACATGAATTGATCGCAAAAAGTCAATACGTACAGATGAAAAAGGGATTTCTGGGTTATTAACCAAAGCCTAAATGAAACAATTAATTTCCCCTTCCAAGAATACCTCAACAATGAAGTAATCGAGAATAACAATACAATAATTAAACCTGAAAAACCACCACCTCTCCTCACCAACTTCACCGCCAATCATCATAAGCTAGGTTATTGAAAGGCAATGGAAATTAAAAAAAGGCAATAATTAATATCGACATCGCAATCATGAACTAGAGCCTTGAATTACTTAGTTATTAATAGACCTTTAGATTTTTGCTGTCATCAATTAGCACGTTCGGTAATAGATTTCTTTTTAAACCTTATTTTTCCAGATAGAATAATATTGCTATTCTATTTATATAACGAAAACAGGGTACATAGATTATTTAAACATTTAATCGAAGTCTCGGGTGGGCTGCTTCAATCAGCCTGTTATGTTAACGAAAAATATTTAACAATCGGTAATTTTATCTTTTGTTTAATTTTGAAACAGTTTTTACTTGTAACATTGATAATAAGAAATAATTATCAATTAGTTCAAACAATTCGCTCTTCGTTTTTTGGAAAGTAGTCGTCTTTTTGGAGTATTAATATTTATTGATTTGTCTGTAGGTTACGCAAGTAGTACCTACATTCAATAAAAACATTTTTAACTGTTTAAAGCGCGATTGTTTCATAGCTACGAGCCTCTAAAACTATTCACCGTATAAACCGTAAGTGCTATGTGTATTTTACCGTATTTTGCCAAGGAGCGTAAGAAAAAAATATTATTTAATTAAATTTCGACATGGTTAACTTAGACGGCAGTATACTTTGTTAATATTTAACTTTATGTTACATGTGACAAATCCCTTTCCGTTCGGGTGCAGAAATGGTTTGGAAAGTGGAAACATGCCCTTGAGCAATATGTTAACTCTGGCAGAATTTTGATTAAATAAATATCCCGTTTTATTCGGGCACAAACGAGCTTATGTGGCCTTTTAAATAACTTATAATAGTGTTTTTTACATTTCTCGAAGTCGTAAGTATTCTTTGCATGTCGAGTTATTTCCCAGTTTCAATTCAAACTATATTGGCATAAAATCAGTTACGAGTTATAGCCTTCACAGCCTCAGCGCTCCATTGTCTACCGCTAGATGCTACAAAGTAACTTATATTGTTCTGGTCGATAAAAGGTTATTAGAGACCTGACAGGGTTATTATCAATAAGAATAGCTTCTAAGAATTCTATATAAAAGTAGGATTTACTTATACAAGACTATTAAAACCAAGTACACGAAGAGCAGAGATGCTATTATAAAAGTTGTCAATCGGGAATGTTAAGATTACAAAAACTAAAGATGCGTACACAAAAATACATATTACGTTTTCTACATTGTTCCTCACATAAATCCGCAGTGCACACACCTTTACAGTGCGTAGGTGATTCTTGTGGTTTACGGTTTACAATCTAACTTTAGAAGCATACACCAGATGGCTCACTAAATCCCAATACAAATATTTTAACGCACTTGAGGGCGTTAGCACAATACGCAACCCAACATTCACATACATTTCATAATACCCGATAAGCGTTCCATAAATTTCAAATTACGAATAAAACATTCGCGAAAAACGTAGTAATTATGACAATAATCATCAACTCACCTGAACTCGTGGAGCGCTTTGAATCGATCAAACGTGCAAGTGGAGCCGGGCTCAAGTTCGCTGCACACCAAGTACCTCCTCCGTACGTTTCTAATTGGCCAGCGCCAGCATGATCGCGGGAATGAAATAAGTTACACGGCGCGTAAACAGCACAGCAAGGCCGGCGCCGACGGCGACCGCTAGGCGAATATCCCGAGAGAACGTCGTGCACGAACGACCACACGTAATATTCAGATCGATACAGGGGCGAACGCGCGCTGTCTACCAAAAGTACACGACTCGACCGTGTGACGGACCGTCAATCGGTTGGGAGACTGCAGATGCCGGTTGGAATTTACGAGCGGGCTGTCAAATCAAGAATTAACTTATCGGTGACAAAGCAGCGGCGCAAATGACGCTTCCCCGCTCTACATATCATTTTAAAGCATGACGTAGGGGGAGCCGTATGAATCTTTTGGAGCATGCGCAATCGGACGTAGGCGCGGCGAAGAGCGGCGGAGGCGAAGGCGGCTATGGCGGATTGTAAGGAACAAAGCGACGGCACGCCGCCTTATCGCCGATGACTGAGTCGCCGAGGAGCCGCGCCATACGCGCGACCTTACTGGCGGCGAAGACGCACGCAATACCACCATCGATCATCGGCAGGCCTGCGGCGACCTCCACACCTCACCACAGGTCTTAACCTTTTAAAAACATGTCGATTGTAGGTCTTAACTAAAGAAACATTCTGCTCGAGTTTTAACTTTTCTAGCGTGTAGTACGCTAGAAAAGTTAAAACCCACAAGTCACAGCTCAGGTGTACAGGAACGCAATAGCTGAATCATTTGCAATCGATACCCAACCCCGTAGGGACCACTGGAGTCGAAGGAGTTTCTTTTATTTCGCGCCGAGGTCAAATTTTGCGGCATAAAAGCCCTCTCAAAATTCAACGGACTGTTTTTTGTTCGCTAATTACACATGTTGAGGACGACTTGAGAAACTTTTTACATTCTAAATGCATATTGTTTGAAATTACCTTCGAAATCTATTTCGAACAAATGAATCTGTGATTCGATTGAAACTGTTGTCGAATGAAAATTAGATTTTATAATTGAATTTATTCTGGTTGAGTTTTTATTAGGACTATAAAGTGGTTTTATTTTTACTATTGAAATCGAGCTTTTAGTGTGAGCACATTGGCACAGTATAGGAGCCATAACACTGCATCACCAATGTATGTTTTATTCGTGCAATAAATATATCATATTTTTGTCTAGGTCACATGACTATGTAATAAGGAATGGCGCGAACAAATATGTATATTACACCAAAAGACAAAAAGAGAATTATTATTTTCTCATATTAATGCACATGGAAAATATGATAACACAAGCGTGACTCGAACCAACGACCAGACAGCGCACCGTGTCGTTTTACAGAGAAACGTGTGAATATAAAACGCGATCTTTTCGAAATCCCTGCTTTAAAGTACAGAAACTACTATAGCAATCGAGCAAAGCATTATTCAAGAGACGAAAAGTGGTTAACTAGACTGAAAACACAAATGGGCTCTCACCCATTTGAAGGAAACACGGAAATATGGAAGCGACGTCCTTGCCTATTACTTCTTGAAAATTAAATTTCCTTGGAAACTCAACATTTTATTTAAGCTCCAGGTAATATTAATATCGCATACCGTCTCCGTTTTATTTCCATTTTCCCGTGGGATAATAATTAAAGGTGACCGATCCGCGACTAAGTATATCTTTATATGCTACATACATACTTACGAAAGAAAATTATTAGGTACATACACACACTATTCCTAAAAGCATTAAGAGATTGCCACCTAGTTGACCGCCTCCGGGTCTCAATGGCTAGGACCAGTTTGAAGCCCGGGGAAGCAATATGTTTTACTAAGGCTTACTGAGGTCTGATGAATAATCAATTACTTGTGTAAATAAAATGAATCATTAAGTGCCCCACATGAGGCTTTTATCATATCCAATTGCGTCAATGTAAAAACACAAACACTACAAACTGTAATATAAGAATCTAACGACAAAGCTTAGGGAAACCGTAAAAATATTCCACTTACATTTGCCTTATAAAACGGAAATAAACAGAAAATGAAATAAGTAAGCTTCCTTGATGTGTGTAGTTGAAGTGATTTTATTGCTAAGCAATTTCACCCGCATAAAACAGATGAAGCTGTGTTCGTAAACGATAAGACAGTTGAATATCTATACGTAAGGGTCCGTATACATTATTCTAATACAGGAACCAGTGACACGATAACCAGTCACGTAAAATCCTATCGAATCGTCAAGATAATCAAATCAAATAAATGTGCACTTGCGTGTACACTATTCCAGGAGCGCTGGATTCAAGAATAAGCCAATCCAGTTTCTACACCGAGTAGAGTGTATGCCGTTCACCTAATTCCAGTAGTTACTTAGCGCTGGATTCGATCACAGGTCTGAATGGAAATGGGCAATAAATGACTGACAACCAGTGTTAGTAGATTTGAAATTTAGGATGTATGACGTAGTTAGGACCAAAAATAAATAATTATTCGAAATTATACCTTTAAGTGGGTAAAAAAGGAGGCTTTTTCAGTCTAACCCACTTTAGCATATGCATTCACAAACAATTTTAATTTGTCCTCCAACGGGGCTAAACAAGTAACAACGCGGGGCGCGTCTAGTCTCCTAAAAAATCCGAAACCAGCTCTACTAAGGTAAACCTAGTTAGCTACTCGTAAATGCAGGTAAACCACTTACTTCGCGGTTGAAGAAATAATCAAGTTCCAACTTTGAATACAAATGATTCAATTTATAATGCTAATGTTATCCTTATAAACTTCATCAGTGAACACCAAGATGCTCCAAGACCTCGACCTCGTCTTTCTAGTAGGACGGCTTTGTCATTAATGGTGTTTAAATTATGCTTTTAGGTAAATAACACTGAGTATTTGAGACTAAGTTCAGAAAAGATTTAGTGCAATAAAATAAATATTATACAGCATATTTAACAGTCTACCACCCACAATAAGAACCGAACCAAGTTTTTCAAACATGAGATGTGCGAACAAGTATTTTTAGTGCACCCGACCCCACGTTCTAAATTCAAATATGAAAGTTTTATAACTAGGCGCACCCACCCGTAATAATCAATCCTAACTCTTAACGACGTTCAGTATAACGAGTACAAAATTTGCTAATTAGCTAGACTAATATGCTAGTCTTTACTTCATCGCGATGAGAGCGGCCAGCCTTTAATAATTACCACGGGAACTGAGATACCTGTGATGCATAAAAAGTGCGAAATATGGCAGAATTTTCTTAAAATCCAGCTGGAATATTTTATGTAATCTTTAGTAATGCCACGATAAGGTAATCTTAAGCATATTATTATTGCGTTTTAAACCTTCTAATCTTGCAAGTTAGTAATGTCCCACGACTGGACAAAGGTGTCCCTTTCAGGGGACAGACAATTTAAGTCTGTCCCCTGAAAGGGACACCTAAGTAAGTTGTCAGTTTTACGCATTATGATAAACAATAAACAAGCAAGTCGCAACATTAATTGGAAGGTATTTGGAGGGAGTAAAATTTCTTTAGTTTCGTTTTTATATTTTTAGTGGTAAATGTATCTTTTAAACTATTTGGTACCAATCTATACTTCTATGTTGTATTTAAATAAATAAAAAACTATTTAAACAAATTATGTTGTGCTTCTAAGAAAAGTATTAAGTAATTATTTGATAACAATTACGCGACTTGTGGTAGTGCAGAATAATTTTGCGAACGGAACGCTAGCGTAATTGGGGTCTAAATGTTAAATTTAGTTTATTTCCATTACGAAATTAGTGTTGTCTGTTCATTTCTCGCTTCGCAAACCTTTGCTTTGAATAATCCCTAAATACCTTTTTAGGCTTATTACCTGTGCCATATATTAAACTATTGTCAATTATAAAATATCACTAACATTTAAATATAACTTTACATGATTTCAAACCATAAATAAAGTAAATATATAACGTTTTGAAACGCGAGATATATTAGTTCACTTATGTACAACTATATTCACAAATCTATTTCTAGTTTTAAAAATATTTATTTTAATTTCAATGATTACTACACGCGTAAAATATCATTGTTCTCAGAATACTTTTAGTATTTTTTCGACTATTCCCTATCCCGAATAAGGAAACCAGAACGAATACTTTTTTAGACCAAAAACAAAAACAAACGCAATCCAGACGCATCAATACATTTGTTAAGAGTACCTAGTCTGTAAATAAATATCGTAGTAAATTGGAGTTTCAATTAAAATATCCCCTTCCGTAATTGGCTGGCATGCGAGGATTTTTTTAAAAATCCTCGCTCAATCGCTTTACAACTAGCGTGTACGGACGTCCGTGAGCGTACAACTTATAATTGGGACGCATCAACTACTGCGATCTACGTTGGGCCGGCTTATCTTGTCGTGTCTGTACCAAATTTATCAGGGATAAAGTTTCTCTTTGAGACAATATTTAGTTTATATATAGTGTATTATAGGTACAACACTACTGTATTATTATTAAATTTAGATCTAAATATTGTATTAATATCAATCTCGAAGAAAAAGCAAGTCTTTAAAAAACCTTAATCACCACTAAACACAATTAATCATACATAATATTAAACACAATGCTATTAATATGTCATAGGTTTTATTTCTTCAAAAAAAATGTCACTTTCTCTAAAATCTCAAATGCAAACTCACTTTAAATCACATAACATGACGTTATGGTTTTCATCGTGTTGTAATTATTAACACGAGAAACATTATTGCACAGTACGGCTTTATATACATATAATCTAAATTTAGACTGAAAAATGAATTAATTATATACACTGCTCCGCGCTGATTTACAAATTAAATAAATTCAAAAGGAAATAAGCATTTTTAAATTTATCATCACAATTATTCGGAATTTAAAACAGCAGTAGTATGCAACTCTTCAAACACTTCATACCTCGATGGGTAACATAAAAGTATAAAATATTGATTTAGTCTGAATCACGGTGCCCGCCTGACGGCCTCAACTTCTTATTCGAATCGAAGGCTTTGAACGTAATTCAAAGCGAACACTGAATAAACCCGAAACGGAGAAATGAAAATGTGGATTTGAAGCAACATAATATTGATAGCAGTGCGCTTTTAAGTAATAATAAACAGACACTATACTTAAGTAAAATTAAAACGAAAAATATGAAACACGAACATTCTATCTAAAAGAAACCACTATAAACTTTAACAAAAATACTTTTATTTTGTAAGAATTATCTATAATAAGGTAAAACGTAATAGCATAAACGAAATAATAGAAAAAAATGG